GAAAACATGAATTTATCCTTAACCCCCCACTGATGGGCAACTACTGTCAACTTTCTGATCTTTTTTCTTTGTCACTTTGCCCTGTTTGTTCCTTTTCTCTTTAATATGCATGTGTGTTATTTGTGGTGCTGGGAATTGAACACAAGGCTCATACATACTAAGCATGTGCTCTGCCATTGAGCTATACCCCCATAGGAATGTGTTATTCTTATATGTTATATCTTATACATCATTAGGAGCATATCAGATATTCAATTCATGGCCTGCTTTTTCATTAGATCTCTTATCATACCTTCATTAACATCATACCTTTGTCATGCCATTTGGCATTCATTTAAAATATCAGTTTTAATGACCATATATGGATTCATTATAGGTGATGCTTCATTTAGTTAATCTCCTATTTTTTGGAAGGTGCCAGGAATTGAACTCAAGACCTTGCACTTGCCAGGCAGGCACTTGTGCTGCTGAGCTATATCCCTGGCCGTTAATCTCCTATTTTTTTTTTTTTTAACATTTAGGCTCTTTTCACTAGTATAAGTTATGTCACAGTGTATAAACTTGTACAAATAATCTTGGTTTATTTTTCTGTTACTGTATCTCCTTAGGATAGATTCCTATAAGTGGAATTACTAAGTCCAAGGACAAGAAGTTTAAAGACCCCTGATGCACATTGCCAAGTTGCTTTCCAGAAAATATGTACTGATTTATCCTCCCTCAGTAATGTGCGGACATTTCATCTTGCTTCTGCTGGTGTGTTTGAGTTCCCCCTTCATAATGTACGAGCTGTATGACTTTGACCAAGTTAAGTAACCTAACTAGTACCCGTGCTTTTCCCATCTATAAAATAAGGGTAATATATTTCTATTTGTAAATTTTTTAATGAGGATTCAATGAATTGATACATGTAAGATATGTAGAACAGTAAGTTCAGTTCATAGTAAATGTTAGGCAGTGTGTTCATCCTATGTTAACTGCTGTTTGTGCGTTTTCTGTTCTTTTGAGTTGCTGTCTGTTTCTGAAAAGATACAGTTTGAATTTATGACACTAGCAACATTTTAGCACTTACTGTGTTGCAAGCAGTTGCAGTAGATCAGCTCCTGTAATCCTGCTAGCAACCCTCTGAGGCAGTACTCCCTCATTTCAAGCAATGCTCATCCCCATTTCCTGTCTGCACTGGGTCTTAAGGAAGTTGAGGCCACTAACCTCATTTGCTATTTCTATGCTACTGCTGGCACTTCGGTAAACGCGACAGGTCCGAGACCAAATTCCTGATCTTCCTCAGCACAGTGATGGTTTTCTGATGGTCCCTGTCTCAGGAGTGTGCCCTACCCCTGGTTTATGCAGGTCGCAAACTTAGGACTCCTCTCTGCCTCTACCCTGTCCGATCTCACCCCCAAGTTCTGCTAGTATGGCTCCCCCGGACCTAGACTCTGCCAGGGCGCTTTTCCTCCTCCTGCTGCCCGGCTCTGCCTGGCGCACACTGCTGTTAGGTTTTGCGCTAATTCAGTGACCTCCCACCTGGGCTCCTGAAACTGCTTCTGGCCGTCTTCATCTGTCCCTCCAAACTGAGCCGTAGTCACTGTTTAAATGGAAATCAGATCACGTTTCCCACCACCTCCCCCTTCTCCTCGCTTGAAACCTTCACTGCCTCCCCTTGCTCAGGAAGGAAGACCCAAATCCTCGGCATAGTCCAGGGTTGTACGTGGTTTAACTTTTATCAGCCCTCCCAGCCCCTTTCCCACTGTGTTCCCCTTCACTCTGCACTCAGCCGTATGAGCCTGTCTTGGTTCTTCAAGGCATCTTATTTCCACAGGGCCTTTGCACATGCTCTTCCTGTTGTCTGGAATCTTCCTCCCTTGTCTTTCTATTTGTCCCCTTTTGTCTATCAGCTCAAGAATCACCCGATCTCCCCCTAATCCTTCTACCTCTCCACACTACCTATTCCCATCCAGGACAACTCTGTAGAACTGAGTCTATGTCCTGTGGATCATATATGCTGGCTACTCCAGTGTGTCTGATTATTTCAGTAACATTTTATTCCTGATCTGAATTTATTAATAGCTGCACTACCCTCTGGGGTCCATGAGTCCATCTCATATCCTTAGGGTGCAGTGTGGTGGTTGCCCAGAACACTAAGCACCCACGTGTGGCATAAATGAATAGAATTATACGAAAAAAATCTCACCAAAGTGTTTACTGGAATAGCCTTGAGCCTGCAAATTCCATGCAAAGAATCTTTACTGCGTTGTCTTCTTAATCGGGAGCCTAGGTCACTGCATTCTTATTAAGAGTATAATTAGTTTTACTGAGGACTAGAATCATGTCCCGTGAAGCATGGCAAACTAGAGTTGTGTGCCTTGGAGAACAAGAAACTTGGGAACAGAACAGCTCTTTTAAAAATGGGCTATGTTAAGAAATGGGCCTATTTCCTGTCATCAGGGTCACTCACGCCAAGGTTGGACCATCTAGAGCAGGAAAACCGAGCGATTCAGGCATCTGATGAAGACTGGAGTTCCTTTAAAGTAGCTTTGAATCTGGGTACAGTAGTACATGCCAGTAATCCCGGCTATTCGGGAGGTGGAGACAGGAAGATTGCAAATTTGAGCCCAACCTGGGCAAGTTAGCAAGACCCTATTTCAAAGTAAAAAATAAAAAGTAATGCAGCTCAGTGCAACGCCCTGGGTTTATGCCCCACCGCTGCAGAAAAATAGATGTAGATGATAGATAGATGATAGATAGATAGATAATAGATAGATGAGAGATAGATGAGAATAGATGATAGATTGATAGATAGATGGTAGATAGATAATTTGTTTCAACTCTGAAGGACTCCAGCTCATGAGCACCCATTCACCTGACCCTTCCAACCAGCACTAAGTACTATTTGGGTTACGGTAGTTAGTGACTTTCAGGTGGAAAAGGCATCTGTCACATTGCCAGAGATTGCAAAAGGGAGGAAGGAGAGAAGAAAAGCCCAGTGACTGCCTTGCCGTGTTATTTTCAGATAGCAGCTTCCCGTCCTAGTCCTTGGAGGCGTAGCTGGCACCTGCTGGCGTCGTGAGGCGCTCTCATGCTTGCGAGGGAAGGAGCAAGATTTCAGTCACTCACGCACACCCATCGTCAGCCACAGAAAGTTATCCCAGCTAACAGAGAGTCAAGGGAGCCGGGCCTGGTGGTAGTGCACACTGTAATCCCAGCACTCTGGAGGCTGAGGCAGGAGGATCGCTGTGAGTGCCAGGCCAGCCTGGGCTATAAAGTGAGTTCAAGACCAGCCTGAGCTACATAGTGAGACCCTGTCCAAAAAAAAGGGGTGGGGTACAGATACGTTGGCGAGTTGGAGTGTTAAAGAAAGCTTTCCAGGGAGGAGTGAGGCTAGGAGCTGAGTCCTCCAGGTGGTCATTCTGAAGCTTTGCAGCTTATAATTTCCCAACACAGGTCTTCCGTAGGCGGTTGAGGCCATCAGAGGGGACTCAGTCAGATCTGCTGAACCGGAGGCCACAGAGGGTTATCACATCAGCAAGATTGTGTGTCAGCTCCTGAGCATGTATTAATATTAATATATTATGAAGCAGGGGCATCTAACTGTTTGAAGCTCTGAGCTTTTTTTTCTTTAAAAGGGGGAGTCTATAAGAATAAAATCGGAATGTTCTTCATATTATGTTTATGCATGGCCTGTCGTAAATAGACGCAGGCTACAACTGCAAACTCTCAGTGGCTTTTAACAGCGCGGTACATTTCTTGGTCATCTCCTTGGGTGCCCCCAGCTGGGGTCCCTGATCTCGGAGCCCGCAGCTCCAGGGGCCCTCGCTAAGGGAGAACGGCTCTTGGCTGTGTTGCTGTGGAGGGGAGAGAGAGGGTAGCCGTTAAGCACTGGCCCTTCGGGGTGTCTGTCTGGAAGCCACGCATCTCTGCTCACACCTCCTTGGCCGTAGCTGGTCCCCGGCACCGCCCCGCTGGAGCAGGCGCCCTGCGGCTCCTCACGAGCCTACAGGAGCCTCAGGTCCCGCGCACAGCCCCGTGGTGCCGCGTTTGGCAAACTGAGGTCAGCGTGTGACCAGTGATTCTCACCCAAAGTGCTAATAACGGTTAGATGGGGAAGAAATCATTCTTCGGGTAAGAAGTGTAGGAATGGAGGTCGTGGCATTTGAAATCAGGCTCGTCCCTCTCGGTATTTTATTGGCTAGATAAGCAATCCATCGCCTCAAAGCCAGGGGCAGTACCTCGGATGGGCAGCCCTGCTCTCCCATTCATTCCACTGGAGAGCAAAGCCACCAGGTGAAAGTGAGAATGTAACTTGTGGGGGGAGGGAGGAAGCGGTGGAATAACACCCTTCCAGAGTGCAAAATGTGGAGGAACAAAGGGGTCCTTGAAGCCAAAGTTCACATGAAACATCGTGCAGGAGCATCTACCTTTGAACTCCAGGGAAATGGGACTCCTGAGGGCTCATGCTTGTCGGGAAAACACTTAGGCTGTGGCTTTTCCAAAGCCACCAGTCTGACCCCGAGGGGCCTGTCCTTGGTTTTCTGGTTTTCCTGCTGTAGTGGGGCTAAGGGCAGCTTCAGTCACCTGGCTCAGAGGCCTTGAGAAAAAAAGACCCCTTATTCTCTGACTTTGGGGTTGAGGGTGGCTTTTCTTTACCACTTTTGACATCGCTCCGGGGCTCTTTCGTGGAAGCCCGCACTGCCACCTTTTCCTGCAGGACTGCGGGCCACCTGCTCGCCTTAGAGTGCCGGCGACTGGAGCTGCCCGCGGAGCAGGCGTTTCTATAATCACACCACAGGGAGCTGTTGGATTATTTCTAGACCCCGTCTTCGCTTGGGAACTGTGTTTGAACGGGCCAAGTTCATCACAGATGGGGGGTTTGCTGAGAGCTCTGTCCTCGGGAGGGGCCGGCCTGGCCTAGGCCCAGGATGAGCTAAATCCTAGAGGGTCCCCTCTCCCGGGGTGAGGGCCCTCCGCTCCCCGTGACTCTGCTGTTCCCCTTCCGTTCTCCACAGGAGCTCGAGCGCCTGAACCAGGTGCTGGAGGCGGAGAAGCAGCAGTTCGAGGAGGTGGTGCAGGAGCTGAGAGTGGAGCAGGAGCAGATCAAGAGGTGGCGGCGGCGGCGCCCCCGGGGGAGGGGCACCCTGCTTAGGGCGGCGCGGCGGGTGCTTGGAGAAGCCTCCGCCCAGGAGCCACCGCTTCTGCTTGGTTTGGGTTTCTCTTCCCAACACTCCAGGCCTTGGGTGTGTGCAGGGGAAGCCGTAGACCTTGGGGGGGTTGTGCCCACTGATAATGACCGTTCGCAAGGGCTCCCCCTCCCTGGCTCAGGAACAGGCTGACCCGGCCTGGAGGTGCTGTTAGCCCAGACCCCCAGCACCCTCTGTCTCCCCTGCACATCCGTCCTTATTTTGGCTAATGACGTCACTTGGGATCTTGAGCCCCACGTATTATTTGCAAAACTAGTTCTACATTATGGTTTGAATGGAGGACCCTCAAAGTTTATGTTTTAAAACAGTGCACTGCTGGTGACCCCAATGGAGCCTATCCAGGAACTTGGAGACTGCTGTCCCGGGTGGTGCTGACGGCGGGGGTTACTGTCTCTATCATCCTCGTCACCACTGATCATCAATGACACCCCAGAAATTGATTGATTGATTGATTGATTGATTGATTTATTGATTGATTGTCTTTTTGAGACAGGGTCTCACTGTGCAGTTCAGGCTGGCCTTGAACTCACTCTGTAGCCCAGGCTGGCCTCAAACTCACAGTGATCCTCCTGCCTCGGCCTCCCGAGTGCTGGGATTACAGGCTTGCACCCCCACACCCGGCTCCCAGAAAATTTTTTATTCCAGTGACCTTGTAAGACAAAAGAACCAGACATGTATTTTGGGGAGGGCCAGAAAAATCTTACCAAAACAAAAGCTAAGGACCTACTCAGCGTCCAGAATTGTGCCAGACTGTGGATAAGAAACTAAATCTCCCCCATCCAGAATCTTTTGCTCTGATTGGGAAAACCAGACTCACACTCAGAAACATGAACACAATCACGTATAGTCAGGGCTGGAAGACAGTGCAGATTTGCTTTGTCTTAGGGACCAAGATAGATGTGTGATCCCTTCGGGTTTGAGTAGAGATTAAATGGAGCTGGTGTGCCCGGCAAACGCCAAGTTTTGGGTTTGATTCCCGGTACCTAAATAAATAAATGGAGCTGGCCTTGAAATGTGAGTAGGCCTTGGAAGACCGGGTGGGAAAAGGGAAAGATACTCCACCCAGGGGTAGAGGAGTCATGTAAAAGCCAGTGGTAACCCAGGCTTGTGCAGAAGGCAGACGGCAGCCGGGCGTGGCGGCACATGCCTATAATCCAGCACTTGCGAGGCCAAAGCAGGAAGGACTCTGTGAGTTCAAAGCCAGCCTGGGCTACATAGCATGACCTTGTCTCAAAAAGCCAACAATTTAAAACAGGAGGAGGAGACAGAAGGCGTCCGTATCCCCAGGGAGGGGATCTCGCCGTGTCTCCTGTCACAGTGATTACAGGTTATAGCAGGCACTGTCCAGGGAGCACGGGCGTGGCTGGTCCCTTTGTTTTCTCTTGAGCTCTGAACTGCCTGTGAGGTGGCTCTAGGTTTATCCTGCTTGACAGATCCGTGTGCACCTGGAGCAGGTCACTCCATCCTCACTAGGCTGGGGCCTCCTTGCAGCCTCAACCCCTACAGCTACTCTGGGGGCCCAGGGTTGCAGAGGGCCTGGCCACGCACAGCCTCCTGAGCCACGGCAGGAGGCGCGGCAGGAGTGTTTCTGTGTGCAGAGGCTGGGAGGGGTGGGCACTGCCAGACGTGGCCCTCTGTCCCCGCAGGGAGCTAGAACTCACTGCGAGATGCCTCAAGGGCGTGGAACAAGAAAAGAAGGAACTGCGGCAGCTCACGGAATCTTTGCAGCAGACGCTGGAGGTGAGGGGCCGCTGGTGGTTGGTTGAGCTTCAGGACACTGGTGTTTCCCCCAGCACTTTCCTCAGCGCATGCCTGCAAGCGGAACGGGCGGGAAGGGGTGCTCATCCGAAAGCGCTCTCCTGCATGGACGGCTGGGAAACCTGGTCTGTGCAGGAGGCCCAGAGCAGGGACTGACTATTCCCAGGCCCAAGGGCGAATTCCAGCTTGCTCGGGATGACCATGGCTTCTGGAAACACATCCTCCAGTGCTGGTATTTTTATACCAGATGAAGGATCGGCTCGGGCGGGCAGTGAAGCCGCATCCTGCTTGTGACTCACTCACTTAGCTGAATGACTGGTGCTCAGTCTCGCAGAGTGCTGGAACACCTACAAGTGTGCACCCCCACACCCCGGCTAGACAGTGTCTTAATGGTGTCTCTAAACCTGGCGCCCAGGGCATGGTGTGTGACCTGTTCCTGTTTGCTGGGCCCCTGAATTGCCTTGAGGGCCGCAGGAGTTTCCATTCTGGAGCTTCGTCTGTGGTACCTTTCCATGTTTACCTTCCCCTGCTGCTTCACCTCACGGGAGGTGGTTCCCATGGGTCGTTTCAACTCCAGGCCTCCTGTGTCGTGGAGCTGATAAATGCGGAGAACATCTAAATCTGCTTCTTGAGTTCATCCTGTGGGATGTTTTTCACATGAGTCCCATACATCTTTTTCTCCCCCTGAAGGAACAAGAGCCCCAGGAGGTCATGGTTCCCCCGGGCCTTGGGCCTCTGTTAGGTGTCATCTTCCCCGGAAGCCACACTGGGTTCCTCTCTGACTCCCTCCACGGAGGGCTACCCCTGCCCTGTAAGAAAGGAGGTCTTGGCCTTCACTTTTGAAGAATGAGACTTCTCGGGTGTCTCTGAGAGAGGAGTATAGATCGCTCCCTGGAATGAAAGGTGCGTGAGGACCGCCATGTTGGAGAAACTAAAGTGGGCCCATGCACTTCCCTCCCAACCTCCACGCCAGGAACTCTCCATAGAGAAGAAGAAAACGCTAGAAATGCTGGAGGAGGATGAGAACCAGCCGCAGTCCCTGGCCAATCAGCGTGAGCAGGCGTCTGCCATTGGGGATCTCCATAGCAACCTAAGGCAGATCGAGGAGCGGATTCAGCAGCTCTTGGCGGAGAAGCTCCTGGCGGAGAAGCGGTGAGGGGCCCGAGGCCCCCGAGTCCATAGCAGTTTGGGGGCTGCTGACTCCTCAAGCTGGACTCGGTTCTGGCTGCCGCTGACCGGCGGGTCACTTGCTTCCTTTAGCGTAAGACTCAGCTTCCCTGCCGGGCAAGTTGGACAGCCCTTCTCTCCAAATGGGCGGCTGTCCCACAGTGGCCAGCGGAGTCCTGGGGTCCTCAGAATCGTGCTTTGTGGCTGACTGGGCAGGTTCCCTTTGCCTCCTTCTACATTGGAGGGAACAGCCTCACGGGGGTGACAGGGCTTCTCAGGGTCACGGGAATGACAGGCCGCAGAGCTGGGGCTCTAATCTTCTGCCTCCAGGGCCAGGGCTCCCCTCACTGACCACACCATCGCTGTGGCCACCTGGGTGACCGGACCCAGAAGGTTCTGGAAGCCCAGGGTGCCTCCAGGCAGATCCGTGAGAGAAGCAGCTCCTTTCGGTGGGTGCGCGTCGAGTAGGCTCCTCTCCTGCCCGGCAGGATGAAGGAGAACGAGGAGCGCTCGCGGGCCCTGGAGGAGGAGCGGGAGTTCTACTCCAGCCAGTCCCAGGCGCTGCAGAACTCGCTGCAGGAGCTGACGGCAGAGAAGCAGCAGGCCGAGCGGGAGCTCAAGGTGCGCGGGCCCTTCCCGCTCCCGGGGTCTCCTGCCCACCTCGGCACCTAACCTACCGGGGAGCTGCCCGAATCATCTCTGCCAGTATGACCAGCTGGCCAGGTACAGGGCATAGTGCCACCCAAGGGGAAGCAGTCCGCTCCGTCATTGGTCCACACCTTCGGGCACAAGGCCACACCCAGGCCTTCCGAGTGGGGGTGCGCTGTGGGGGCAGGCTGTGAAACCTGCCGCCCAGGCTCGCCGGGCCGGGGGTGCTCGGAAGACTTCCACGGAGAGAGCCCCCTTCCTTGTCCCCCAGGCCGAGGTGAAGGTCCGAATGGACCTGGAGCGGCGTCTGCGGGAGGCGGAGGGGGCTTTGCAGAGCCTGGAGCAAGGGCTCAACTCCAAGGTGCGGAATAAGGAGAAGGAGGAGCGGATGCGGGCGGACGTGAGCCATCTGAAGAGTAAGCCCTCCCTCTGGGGACTGCTTCCCCGCCCGGAGCTCTGCCCCCCAGACCCCAGCCGAGGAGCGGGACAGGCCCCGCTGTGCACGAGGCGGGCCTGGCTGCGTTTCTTCTCCGGACACCTGCCAGCAAGGGCCCCTCTGCCCTGCTTCCCTTTGGCCTTTGGGTCCGGATCCAGGGGGAAAGCCTGTTCACAACCTCCGAGCGCTGTGCTCAGCCGCCCTGCCCACGGAAAGGCTGCACACGGCGGCTGTGGTCCCGAGGGCGTGGGGCCCCCGTAGGCGCATCGGGCCCTGGGGACCCTTGGCGGGAAGGGTCGCTGCCCCACCTCTTGCCCCCTGCAGGGTTCTTCGAGGAGTGCATCCGCAACGCAGAGCTGGAGGCCAAGATGCCGGTCATCATGAAGAACTCCGTGTACATCCACAAGGCGGCCACGCGCCGCATCAAGAGCTGCCGCTTCCACCGGCGCCGCTCCAGCACCTCCTGGAACGACAGTGAGTGCGGCGCCGCCGGCCCTGCGGCCGGGCTGGGCACGGGCTGGGCATGGCCGGGCAGGAAGAGGACGGGGCGGGGTGGGGCAGCGGCGGGGCTGGCCGGGCTCTGGCGCTGGGCCGTGCCGCCGCGGCCTGGCGCTTCCAGCCCTGGTGGCTTCTCAAGCCTGCGTTTCTCGCAGGACTGCGGCAGCGGGGGGCTCTCGGCAGCCGTGGACGGGAACGATGGAGGCAGGAGGGGTCGGGGTCGGGGTCGGGGTCGGGACCACCCTGGGTGGACGGAGGGCTGCTCACGGGGTGCCCGGGCCCTGCCTCCCCAGTGAAGCCGTCCCAGTCCTTCATGAACTCTCAGCTGGAAGCCAGCAACATCGAAGAGCTGAAGGAGGTGGCCAAGCGGCTCAGCCGGGACCAGCGCTTCCGGGAGTCCATTTACCACATCATGGCCACCCAGCCTGGCGCTGCCTCCGTGCTCCCCCGGGCTGGAAAGTGAGGGCTCTCCTCCCTGCGCAAGTCTGGGGCGGCAGAGGAGGCCCAGTTCCATGGGGCTCTGCGCCACCTGGGGGCCAGCCTCGCCCTCCCAGGACGGGACGCCACCCACACCCTGTCCTTCCCTGCGGCTCCAACCTGGGTGCTGCTCCGGTTGCCATGGTGAGGGGAGGAAGGGCCTGGCTGTGCGCGACTGCTGCTGGGCAGGGCGTGGGGTGGGGACGCTGCCTGCGCCTGGACGCTGCCTCTCTGGCTGAAGGCCACAGCCCCCCGCACCGCTGTACCTGGTCCTCGGTGTGATAAACAGCCTCACCTTCAAAGGTGGGGCCCGCCCCCGCCTCACCCTTCCCAGGCTTTCCTACCCTGCGCCTGGCCTCAGAGATGTCCCTGGTCACAGCCTCCGCTTCCTCCATGTCCCAGGAGGGCAGGAAGGCCCAGGCCACGCTGTCAGGTTCCGGGGTTGGCTGGCCCTGGCTGCGGGACCGCCTGCCGGCTCCCCCCGCACACCCACACGCAGCCCAGCGACCTGCAAGAGGGGTGGGGCCCACCGTGTCCCTCCTGGACCCTGGCTGGGGCTGGGGCCAGCAGCAGCAGCGCAGGCAGTCCCAGAGGACATGGGACAGAGCTCAGGCGTGGCAAAGGCTCAGGCAGAGACAGCTGTCCCTGCTACAGTGGCCCGGTGGGCCCATCGTCTCCATCACCTGCAGAGGCTTCACCCAGTGAACTAACGCAGCCGTGACCCCCGCCCATGGGGCGCCTGGGGCTGGGATGAACCAGTAGCCACGGGTGGGCTCCGTGTCGGGGTTGAGGCTGTGCACCCGTCTGCAGTTTCTATGGAGACCACCACCCTCAGGAGGCTGGAGGGTCACAGGATGTCCCTCACCCGTGAGCCTCCCAGGCCCACCCTCTGAAGCTACCTGTCTGTCCATCTCTCCAGAAAAGGGATCTACACAGGACTGGGGGGTTCTGGGACACTGGTGGTGTTAAAGGTACTGGTTCTCTGCTCTTCAGAAAACAGACTTTCTGGTGGATGAGCAGATGGCTGTGGGCAAGTCCCAGCAGGAGGTGCGGGTCCCTGAGAAGCCGCAGCAGGCTGTGCAGATGCGGAGGGAGGCTCCCTCGGGAGCAGGCCCGTCTGCCGCTCTGCCAGCCGGGACACCGCACTGTCTTGCTCTTCCATACCTGGAGAAACCGACGCTGACGGTGCCATCTCAGGGACGGCCAGTTAGTGGGACTGACCCTGGGGGCACTTGGGAACCAGTGCATCTGAATGTAAATGTAAAAGCTTTAAATATGTGTAATCCTGCATAACCTGGAACATGTTTAACCAATATGTACGGAGAATGAACTTTGAAACAAGGCGGAAGATGTATAAAGCCAAGATTACTGATTTTGTTTTTGCTGTGCTGGAGATTGAACCCAGGGGCTGCTCTACCGTTGAGCTACATCCTCAACCGTTTTTATTGTTATTTTGAGACAGGATCTCACTAAGTCAACCAGCCTCCAATTTACAATCCTCCTGCCTCAGCTTCCCAGGTAGCTGGGATTACGCACCACCATGCCTGGCTGTTTTTAAAGAATTAAATTAATGATGGCTTGCGCTGAAGAAAGGTCTTTTAGAAATTTTCAGATGCATTTGTTTTATTTTTTCCTGGGCAAGCTGTTAGCCAGAAGGAAAGTATTTGTCTTGGTCCACTCTGCCTTGCTGTAGCATCCCTGAAACTGGGTAATGTATAAAGGACGGAAATTTATTGAGTCGTGGTTTTGGAGACGGAGAAGTCCAACATCAAGGCGCCGGTATCAGCGAGGACCTGTACACTGTGTCACCCTGTGATACCGCAGGGCAAAGAGAAGGCAGAAAAACACAGGAAGGTGCCCCCCTGGCCCTTTTATAAGCAGCCACGCCAGAATAGCTCATTTTTGCCAGGACAATGCTAATCTACTCATGAGGGTAGAGCCCTCGTGGCCTAATCATGTTTCTTTCTTGAGGCACTGGAGATTGAATCTAGAGCCTTCACACTGAGCTACACCTATAACTCATTTATTTGTTTGTTTGTTTGTTTTGAGGTAGGGACTCACTAAGTCACTGTTTGCCCAGGCTGGGCTCAAACCTGCAATCTTTCTGCCTCAGCCTCCCAGAGCATTGGGATTACAGGGGTATGCCAACACATTTAGCTTCTAATCATCTCATAAACTTCCTTCCTTCTGTGTCTTTCCTGTGGTACTGAGGACTAAGTCCATGGCCTCTCCTATGCTAGGTTCTCCCTCTCCCATTGAGCTGCACTCCCACCTCCTTCTTAGGACGTTTTGAGGCAGGTTCTCACTAAATTGCCCTGGGTGGCCCGGAGCTTGCGGTCCTACAGCCTCAGCCCATTTAGTAGTTGAGATTAGAGACGGGAGCTTGCGGTCCTACAGCCTCAGCCCATTTGGTAGCTGAGATTAGAGACCGGAGCTTGCGGTCCTACAGCCTCAGCCCATTTGGTAGCTGGGATTAGAGACCTGTGCTGCCAAGCCAGGCTTCAAGCTCCCTCCTCTTGACACCGTTTTAAAGGCAGTTAAATTTTAACGTGAACTTGGGCGGGGTGGTCAAGCCCTGGCGGTGATTTTCCACGCACGTTCACCAATCCCTGGTCCACGCTTCAGGCAGGTCTGCATTATCGCCAAACAAGGATCAGTCCGCGCTTGTTAAGAGCTCACTGCCTGCCTCGTGCTGTACGCAGAAGAGCAGCGTCTCTCTGTGAGAATATGCCGGGTGGGAATCGCTTTCTGGAAACACATCGGTCGGATTTTTTAAAAATTTGGAACCAAAGCCGGGCGTGGTGGCACACGCCTGTAATCCCAGCACTTGGGAGGCTGAGGCAGGAGGATCTTTGCGAGTTCGAGGCCAGCCTGGGCTACAAAGTGAGTTCAAGGCCAGCCTGAACTACATAGCGAGACCTTGTCTCAAAAAAAGACAAAACAAAAAAGCAGTCCATGCCCTGCAGTCCCATAGGTCTCTGTGTGGTCATTGCTGGACAGACGCTGCCCCCCGCAGGCCGAGCGCGGGACGCAGGCTCGAAGCGCGCCAGGTCTGCGGCCGCAGAGGAGCGCGCCTCCTGGCCCCTTCCCGCCTGCGAGGCTGCAAGCCCTCAAAGGCGGTCCCGGCGCAGCTAAGACTGTCCGCAGGGTTTCTTCTCCCTCGGGCACAGACCAGCGGGCGGAGCGGGGGACAGCCCGAGAGGGAGTTTCGGGCACCTCATCGGGAGCGACGGCGTTACTGACCTGATGGGACGTCACGCTTTTGCTTTGGGCGCTTGTAAGGGAGAGCCAGAAGTTAGCGGAAAATGGTACTAACCGGGCTCTCCTGCTGTTTGGTTTTCTTCCCCGCAGCTGGGACGACCCAGCGTTATACCCGGGACTGTGCGGGCCAACGCTGTTTCCCGGCTAACTCACACCCCGCCCCCCGCCTTCCCCTGTCACTCCGCGGTCGCCCTGCTGCTAGCGCTTCCCCGCATCCCCGCGGTGTGAAAGCAGGAGATCCGCCAAGCACTCGGGTCCGCCCCCGCGTGGATCCACAGCCGCCAACCCTCCCTGGAGCGGTGTAATTCTTGTCCCGTGCGCGCCCGTTCCACCCAGGTCAACACGACCTGGGCAGCCTGTATTTGGAGGCAGAGTGACTGATGGGAGGCCAGAAACATACTTGAGGGTGATGCGACAGAAACCCAGCCCAGGGTATCAGACGTGATCTAACCAGCAGGCAGTTATTAAATCCAAATGGACAAGCTGAGCATGGCAGTACACACCTGCACTCCCAGTGCTCAGCAGGCTGAGGCAGGAGGATCCCCATGAGTTTGAGGCCAGCCTGGAATACAAAGTGAGATCAAGCCCAGCCGAACTACATAGGGAGACCCTGTCTCCAAAATAAATAAAATAAAAAATTGAACACACACACATAAACCTAAAGGATAAAGCAGCTGGACCTCAGGAAAGTCAGCAGCCCCTGGAACCTGTGCTTCTGCAGTTAGCCAGGATGAAGCCACCCAGACTCAACCCTTTTGCAAAGTCTCCCACAGTGAGGGCCCGTGGCTTTGACTAGGGGAAAAGCTACCTTCTTGTGCTCCATCCTGCTTCCGGCCTGGGGGTCTCAACCACCCTGTTGACCTGGTAAGGGTTTCGAGCCTTGGGGTGTGTGGAAGAATGACCATCCCCTTGCAGGGCAGCGCCTGCCCTGATGAGATCCAGGAGCGGAACTCGGATGGGAAAACTCAGGCCTCTGCTACTTGTGGGCTCTGCGGTTTTTGAAGTCTTCCTGTTTATATATTTGTATTAGGAAAGAAGTCTCCGAGCACATGAGGCTGCTCGGAACCCTTGTGCTTCTGGAGCTCTGCGAGCTAGAAACGTACTGTCCTGGACTCAAGAGAAAATTAGCTGCTATGGCAATGAGGGGTCAAGGACAGACAGGGAGGAGGGCGGATGCTCTGGCTGGGCTGAACACAGAGCCGTGCTGCCCTCGGAGCTATGAAGCTAGGGAAAGTTAGCTTTCGGGTAGGAACAGGGAAGAGAACTGATGTATCATGCCCAGGAAAAGCTCGCTGCGCCTGAGCCTGTCCCCGGGGGGCTTTCCTGGTGGAGGGAAGGTGTCCACTGGCGCCCGTGGGTGTGTGCGCTCCGGCATCTGACCTCGTCCTCCCATTTCTCTCCATCTTTATCCAACTGCCACTTATTGGGAATCTGTTGTGTGACGCTGTCCTCTCCTCTACTGGGTCTTTATTGTGGCGAAATGCGCGTAATACAAGGTCGGTACTTTATCCATTTCTAAGTGTAGGGTCCATAACGTTAAAGGGATGCTCACGCTGAAATTTTCTCATCCGGCAGAAATCAGACTCGGCACCCGCTCAACATCATGTCCATCCCCTGGCGCCAGGCCCTGGCAAGCGCTACTCCACTCTCTGTCTCTATAGACTCACATAAGCAAACCGACCCGCACTCGTCTCGTCTGACTGGCTTCTTTTGCTCAGTGTAATGTCAAGGTTCACCTGTGCTGCAGCATTAGTCCCCTGCCCGCTCTTGTACCGTCCCCTTGACCCGGCTGCGTTTATACCCAGCCCCACCTCGTTTATCTTTGAGGATGCTGTCCCATAAGCCAGAGGTTCCTCCTCATGGGGGCCAGACCTAAGAGTCTCCTTCAGGAGACCTCTAAATTGATTACGATCTGATGTGCAAGTACGCAGCTGGCAGCATGACGGGAACAGATGCCAAGACAGTGACCAGAAAGAACACAGGAGGGACACAAAGGGGGGCGTCGAAGAGGCGCGGCTGTTGCTCCTCTCTTCTCAGCCCACCTCCCTTGCGTCGCTCTTACCCAGCGGCCATAGCTCCCTGACCTCACGCCGGCGAGGACGTTGATTTGTGAGTTTTCTCTCCCTTGCATCCTGGTCTTGGCCAAGGATAGAAGTGTCCTGCACTGCTCAGGGGGTGCATCATCTTGTTACTGGTTCCACATTTTGGAGAGAAAAAAAGAACTCATTTTGGGGTCAGAAGTTGGTAACATTCTCTTTTTCTTTTCTTCTTTTCTTTTCTTTTCTTTCTTTCTTTCTTCTTTCTTTTTTCCTTTGTACCAGGATTGAACCCAGGGCCTCACTCATGCCCTGCAAGTGTTTTCCTACTGGGCCACACCCTCAGCTCTTTCAAATTTTGTTTATTTATTTCATTTTTATTTTGAGACCGGGTCCTCCTGCCTCAGCCTCCTGAGCAGCTGAGATTACAGGCCTGCACCA